TAGTGTCTTTTCCTTTTAACTTGACAGTACAGTCGCCAAAGGTCATGATGAATAAAACAAATCACTATTCTGGGTCTTCTCATCCAACTGTCTTTACTTGTATTTATGTAGACAATGCTTTTACAGCCCTTTTCTCATCCTCTCCTCAGGAATCTGTAACACAGCCTCTGGTCTAAAGATTTCTAGGACAACTTTCCCCCCCAGTTCTGTAGGCTGTTCATAAAGGAAAACTGGGCCAGAAACCAAGAAACAAGTTTATTGACTGCAGATTTCTCAGACATGCTCGACAAATTCATTTAATCCTCACAAAACCCCTGTGGCTGTGGGAATTATTATTACTTATGTTCCACAGATGGGGAAACCAAGGTCCAAAGGGGTTTAGGTTGGCCCAAGTCAGCTAGCTAGCAAAACAGTGGATGGGCTGAGCCCAGGCTCCGGATTCGAGGTCATTCCAATTGGGCGCCTGCTCGCTCCCCTCTCCCACAGTAAGGCAATAGTTGCCACCGTGAGACTCCAGGATGGTGGGGCTTTTCTTCTGCAAAATCATTTGACTCTCACTCTCACCAAGTTGATTCCAATTCAGAGTCTACAGGGATCGCAGAGCTGCCCCTGGGCATTTCCGAAGCAGTAAATGTTTCCAGAAGCTATTCTCACCTCCTCTCAGAGCAGCTGGTGGATTCAAACAGCCAACCTTTTGGTTAGCAGTTCAACACTTAACCCATCATGTCACCTTGGCTCCTGTTTACTAGAACTCCAGAACCCCCTTCTCACAGCATCTCTAGATGAATGAGGACAGGTCTGCCTGGTCCTAAACTGCTCTGAGTCTCGAGATACGTCAGTGACTTGCTCTCTGGCTTGAACATTCCAACTCAGGGCAAGCCCGCTGTCAGAGAACCAGGCAGACGGTGTTTAATGGCTGTGATCCTAAAGGAGATGGCCAGTCCTTTGGGTGGGTTTGAAGGACCAATTTTTGGTTAATAGCCATGTGCTGGCTAACTAGTTTCTAATCAAGTTACTCTGGTTTGAGAAGTAAGAAGTCACTCAACACGTTTTAAACACAAACCACACCCTTCAACCTGGCAAACTCTACAGGAATTAAGCCTTATGAAATGAAATTGTTCAAGTACAAAACCAACCCCACGGAGCAGATTCTGGCCAATAGCAAACCTTTGGGGCTGGGCAGAAAGGCCCCTTAGTGTTTCTGAGGTTGTGCTCCTGATAGGAGCAGATGCCTCGTTTCTTTAAGAGACTGGGTTCAACTCCTGGATTGGTTTTTTTTTTTTAAAGCAAGATATGCAAGCATTTATTTTCATTCCTCCTATTAGCAGGTCCTTATTTTTGGAGAAGAGTGAGGCATTTCATTATCCACTCTTTCCACTCCTTAAAGGTGTGCAACCGGTCAGGTAAACGCACGCTGTCCTCCCGACTAGGCTTCCAAGTCACTCAGAGTGGGTCAGTGGATTCCTATCTCTCCGCGATGGTGAAGCCATACTGCAGCCAGCAGTCCGATGTTCAGATATCAGCCACCAGGCCTCTTCAAGTCTAAAAGACACCTCTAATTAATCCCATTCACCTCCACAGGGACTACAAAACCCACTTATTTGGGTGTCTACAGGCTTGCATCCATCACAAAGAGTCCTGGTGACATAGTCTGTAACTTGTCAGGCTGAGAACCAGAAAGTCAGTGGTTCAAATCCACTAGCTGCTCCATAGGAGAAACAATGGCAATCTCTTCCTATAAAGAATTCTAGAAACCCTTTTCCTTCTCCCCACAAAAAAGCCTGCAATAGATTTAATGTTCCTTTTAGTATTAACTGACTTTTTTTAAAAGACAGAGTTTAGGACTATGGGAGTTCTGGTAGCCTAGTGGGTGGTTCAAAGTCACTAGCTTCTTTGCAGGAGAAAGAGGGTCAGTCTCCTCCTGTGCGATCCACAGCCTCTGAAAACCCGCTGGTGCATCCCTGTTGTAACAAATTGAGGACCAACACCATAGTAGCAAGCTAGTACCCAAACTCTCGTTTTTCCCTGAGGATGTGTGTTTCGTCTTCATTAAAGATTGCTGGTAGACAGGACAGAAGGATTAATGAAAACCAAAGCAAACCAAACACAGAATTCTAAAAATTGGGGAAAGTTTGATGATATTGTAGGTATTGCAATTAATGTTATAAGCCAAAATGCATACGAATAGTTGAATGAAAACCTTATCTTCCCGGTAAACTTTCATTCAAGCCCCTTCTCCCCTCACTGCACCCCTTTGTAAAAATCAGATAAACAAAAAAAGGTTCCTGGTAGTGAGAGGCCAGCCAGGCCTGGCTCCAGTTCCAGGCCTCACATGGGACAGGTGTAAGATGAGCTGTGGTGGAGCATCTGAAGGTACGCGGGTGGTTTATGTTTTCTAATGTCCCTGATGGTGCTTTTCCTTCCTTCTCCTGCTCCAGGGGGCAAGTGCTCCATGACGGATGAGCTGATCTTTCCCCTTTTCACGCTGGCACAGGTGTCAGTGGGCTTCTCATCACAGGCAGTTTCTGACGTGGGAGCTGAGACCTTGTGCACAAGCCGAGCCCTCTGCTGGGTGAAGCCACCAGCAGTCACGCAGGGGAAAGATGGGCAGGTTGCTGGGGAGGGAGGAGCTGTGACTGGGTTCTGACTTGATGGCAATGAGTGAATTTCTGACTAAAAAAACACTGAGGCGCTGCTTCAACATTAACCGTGATTTTTAACAGGGCTTTGAAGCTCTTTATTCTAGTTCAATGTCACGGTGAGAACTTGGATTTCTACTACAGATCAATGGGAATAAGTTTAACTCCCAGAAGTGATTCTTATGATTTGTAGTTGAGAATGTCTACATTCTTACGTACCCATTGTTGATGTGTACCATTGGGTCACGAATGAGCCACAGCTGAACCTATAGCAGGTTTTCAGACAGTAAACTGCACGTAAGGAGACTGCCCATCTTTCTCCAGCAGAGCAACTGGTGGATTCAAACAGCGTACCTTTGTATTGGCAGCCCAATTCCTTACCACTAAGTCACCAGAGCTTGCTAGGAGTATACATTCTTTCAGCAGCCAGGGAGGAAGTGGAATGAACTGGGTTGAAGCTTTGGATGTGAATCATCATGAACCTGGAACCGGACTCGGTCAGTAAGAGTTTGTGGCTGGTATGAACCTCCAGCCAGAACTGACTTACAGCTGATGTCCACCCCAACTCTTCCTGCAGAGCAGAGCTATGTCGCATGAACTCCAGTGCTTCCTCAGACATGCACACGTAATGGGGACAAATGAAAATCCAGTAACTGCAAATATTTGGAAGATGAAGGTTGCCAAGATTTCTTTTTTACTTTTTTTTTAATAATTTTAATGAACATTTACAGAGAATTTGGATTTCCATTCATTCATTGCTGCACTTCTCTCCCCGTCCAGCCCTCTCCCCCCGCCCCCCAGTTCGCTCAAGAGTAAAAGAAAGACTCCCTCCCTGGTACACAATCCCCCCGCACCCCTCCCACCGCCCCAAGTACATTCCATTATGCAACCTTAATTGTGGACTCTTGCGATAACCATAATACCCTATCATACATTGCTTTTAAATTATTCAGTCCCTCATCTGTTTCAGTGCAGTATACATAATTTATCCAGTTTTTCTCAATCTTACCCCCACCCTGATATCAGTCCCATTTTACAGCAGTGGTACCATGCAATATTTGTCCTTTTGTGACTGAGATATTTCACTCAGCATAATGTCCTCCAGGGTCACCCATTTTGAATAATATTGAATGAGTTCCTTGTTTTTCAATGCAGCATAGTATTCCATTGTGTGAATATACCACAGCTTCTCTACCCATTTGTTTGTTGATGGGCACCTGGGTTGTTTCCAACTCCTTGCTATTGTGAACAAAGCCGTGATAAACATGGGTGTGCATATGATGTCAGTTATGGTCTCTTCAGGGTATATTCCCAGTAGTGGAATCGCTGGGTCAAATGGTATCTCTATTTGCAACTTTTTGAGAAAGTGCCATATCGCCTTCCACAGTGGTTGCACCATTTTACATTCCCACCAACAGTGAATAAGGGTTCCAGTTTCTCCACAACCTCGCGAGCATTTGTTGCTTGCTGTTCTGTTAAATTTTGCTATTCTGACTGGGGTGAGATGATATCTCATAGTTGTTTTGATTTGCATCTCTCTTAGAGCTAGGGATTTTGAACATTTCTTCATGTGCTTGTTGGCCATCTGAATGTCTTCTTTGGTGAAGTGTCTATTCATAATCTGTGCCCATTTTTCTACTGGATTATTTACCTTTATCTTGTTGTGGTGCTCAAGTATTTTATAAATTCTAGATATAAGTCCCTTATCTGACATGTCATTACCAAACACTTTTTCCCAGTCTGTGGCTTCCCTTTTTACCCTGTTAGAGAAGTTTTTGGATGTGCATAGGGATTTGATTCTTAGAAGGTCCCATTCATCTATTTTATCTTCTCCTGGTTGTAGATCTTTTTTACTTTAAAATGACAGCACTGGCTGTAACAATTAGACCGTGATGAATTTGCATGAAATACAAGTCCCAATATTGGTTCTAATGTTCTGAAGTTTCCTTAAAATAGAGTTAATGTATTGTTTCTTGGCATAAGCACTGGTAAATGTTGGGAATGTAAACTCCTGGGTGTGCACACACTCTCAGTGCGGACTGGATCAGTGACCCAGCTCCTGCTATTACACAGGAACCGTAAGGAGGGGAGGATGTGCTGAAGCCCTGAAGAGCCTCCCTGCCATCTGGGGCTGGCCCTGCCTGGCTCATGCCCCTGTCTGTGCTCCTTCCCTCCGCTGGGCTCTGACCCAGCCCTCAGCCAATGCAGCATGGACACTGCACAGACTGGCCTGATGGTTTGAGACATACACGGGCACCAGGCCTTTATTAAACATTAAAGTACAAATGGAGGTCCCCTGTGAGGAGGGTGGAGGACACTGGGGATGGAGAAAGGGACACTTGGAGTACATCAGTCCCCTCCTCACAAAAAGGGCTCGATATTGATTTCCAGGGAGGAGCAGGGAATGGTCAGCTCAAACTTGGTGATGACGTCAGGATGCAGGACCCCGAGCTTGCCGACGCTCTGACCCCGGACAAAGACCTCGGCACATCGCCCCGGGAAGAAAGCAGAGCCTAGAAAAGAGAGAGAAATCAATGTTTCCCCTGACAAAAACAGAAAGAGCTATCGACCACTGAAAGTGCTGGTCTGCTGTAAGAGAATTACTCTTTAAACCACAGACAGAAGAGAGTGCTTTTCCACGCTTTCGAGTAGCAAGTAGGCAGCATCACAGCAAGGCAACCTGGCAGGGACATGAGGACAGGAGGCAAGTCAGGACCCTGGATATCAGGGGGAAGAGATGCTTGTGGGAAGGAGGAAGGGGCAGCTGGAGGAGAATTCGGCTGAGAAGTAGGCCCGGTCCTGCACAGTGAAAAGGCAAAAAAGAAAAGCCCGTGAACTTGTACAGAACAAGCTGCCTCAAAACAGGCTGATCCGTTGAGCTACTTGCTGGATTTACTTGTTGGATCAGACAACACAGAATTTTTTTTTCTAGTCCCATCACTCTTCCACCTTATCACCCAGAGACACGCTCACTCACAGTGACCTGCAGGTGAAGGGGATACCAGCCCGGGTGCTGGGACAGACAGGATTGGGGTCCAGCCCAGAAAAGCACCTGTGAAGTCAGTTCAGAGCGTCTGCTGCAGTCACAGCAAAGGCCACCCCGAAAGAGAGCTCACAGTGGAGAGGCTGAGGGACGGAGGAGACTCACCAGGTGTTTAAATGTTTGGGAGAAAAGAAAAAATACGAGTCAATAACAACAAAAACTAAACCCCAGCTAGGTCTGCTCCACAGGCACTTCAGTGCCACTCCATGGGGGACGTTCATCAGGTGGTGTGCTGCACAGAGGCACAAAACAAAGAAGAGCTGACTCACTCCTCTGACCATCACGCTGATGACGGCCAGGCTCCAGCTTCGAGTAACCGGCTGGAGCACTTACTGGCATGAACTATAAATAGCCGGGAGCCAGCGGCAGCCGCGTGTCCAGCCTGCATTCGGAGGGAGTGCATTATTTATGAACAAGTAAACGGCTGAGTCTCTACTAACGGCCCCAAGGTCAGTGGGATTTTAGAAGTGCCGACTGGAGAGGGGTGTGGGGAAGAAGGGGGACCTCTGTCGAGCTGATATGGAACCCCAGCAGACACAGAAAGAGGATTAGCTGAGGCCAGGCCAGCTGCTTCCGTTCCGGGAAAGACCCGAACGTGCCTGGGACTGTCCTTCTTAGATAACCCAGTGCAAGCTGGCCAAAAGAGAAGGTGGCTGCTGCTGCAATTTGGCTCCACTGTACACTAAAGCAAGACGGCCTGTGAGCTGCACTTAAGTGCCGTAAAACCTGTGCATGCCAGAATCATTATAAGGGTAAACCTATTAGAAAAGAAAAGGTCTATTTTTCCACTAATCGAATATTCCAGGAAATGGGTCTAAAGCAAGACAACCTGAGACCTGGAGGAATACAGCAGCCCCCCTCTGGCTGTAAGGAGTTCCCCTGCATAACAGCTACTCTTCACACACTTGGGGAAGGGAATCAAATGCAATACAAAACGTAGATCCACTGAAAATGCAGAGCTTTCAGGAAACAGCAATGCTACTAAGTATGATAAAGCCGGTATATGTGAATTCTGACGATATAACCCCAGCTTGTCCTGATTCCCCCAAATGAAGAGAAATCCTCAAGGCTGGATAAGTGTGTACCATAGGCTGGCAATGCTCTAAAACAGTCACCAAACAGGTCAGGGACGGTGAAACCAAGCCAACCATGCGTTCATCACCACCACACCGCTTCTGTGGAGCAATATCCTGAAGCAATGACCTGAAGACGACACCAGCCTGTTTTAAAAGGCCATTCAGAAAGGAGGCTTGAAGCTCTTCCTTGATAACCCCATCATGTTTAAGAATCCTTCCTCTATCCAAACCCTTCTTTTTATCTATCTTCAATTTCAATTTGATTGGATTCATTTGTACTGAAGCGTAAAACCAAACCATTTTAGAATCGAAGCCAGATGTGCTGTATCCTGACAATGTTAGCAAAATAAAGCTTAAAAGATAAGAACTTAAGAGTTTTGACTCTTTTAAAAGTAGCTTTCTGACTCAAGCACTTTTGAGCAAAAACTCAGGAGCAAGCCTGACAGTGGTAAATGCTCCCATTCCAGAAGTCTGACTCAAACGTCAGCTAGCCAGGGTGGACAGTCACATGAAAAGAGCTCTATCACTAAATACAAGGGGAAATAAATAAAGGGAAGAGAAGCGAAATTCAGTATTATGTGCTTTATTAAAAACATATCTAAGCCTTAGTTTGAATTGTGTGTCAGAAGCCCTGGAGCAGGCCCCTGGACCAGCACTGATCCTCAGCTGTTGCTGGTCACTGGCCAGTTGATTCCGGCTTATGGTGACCCCATGTATACAGAACTGTTACACAGGCCTACCTGCCCAGAGAGGATTCAAACCAACCACTTTTCAGCTAATACCTGGGTGAGTAACCGTCAGTGCCACACAGGGACTTTAATCCTCCACTTCCCATGCATATGTATAGATTTGCTAAAAACAGCAGCAGATGATGTTCTCAAGAGAGACCTGACTAGCCCACGGTCTGCCAAAAGAATAAACAAGTCTGTCTTGGAGGATGCAGCCGGGGTGCTCCTTAGAGGCAAGGAGGGTGAACCTTTGTCTCACAGACTTTGAACTTCTTGTCAGGAGGGTCAGTCCTTGGAAAAAGGGAGCATGCTTGCAAAGACAGAGGGTCAGAGAAAGAGTGCAGGACCTCAACCAGATGGCTTGGCACAGTGACCGTAACAACGGGCTCAGGCGTGGCAGAGACGGCAGGGATGACACAGGCTGGCCAAGCATCTCTGTCATTCATGGGACTGCTGAGCTGCTGTGGACTTGAAGGCACCCAACAACAGCCTCTGTTACCCCAGGCAGCAAGGTCAGCTTTTCTTGCCGTTTTAAAACTTCTAACCAGGTTTGACTATGATAGAAACTCAGCTGAGTTTCTTCTTGACTCCTCGGTTCAACCAGGGAAAAGCTGCCCTGCTCCTGTCAACAGATGACAGACATAAAAGGGCCTCACACTTTAAAGAAACACATGACTGATGCTGCAGGGAAATCAGGAATTCTAAAAGAAAAAGGGAAATGCAGACACTGCTTAGTGCTCCTTTAAACATCTATGGTTCGAGCCCAACTCTGTGGGCAGCAGGGTAACGTTTCACAGAAGGGCTGGAGAAAAAGACCTGTTTCACTAGCAACACAACGACAGCCTGCCCCACTGATGCGGCGAGTCGGCCGAGTTCAAAGCTGAGGGCATCTCCAGTGTCAGCAGAGCTCAGCCCGGTCACTCGGGCAGATCAGTGCGATCGCCAGGACCAAGACCTCTTAAATCAGCCTTTCAACAAGTAACAGAAGCCACACTGAAGTAAAACCTAAGTAACAGTCTTGGCTTGTGAGAAATTAAACCTGGAGGGTTGCCAAACGTTACTTAACAACGAGCAACACATTTCAGGAACAACCTCCAGAGGAGCCCTGGTGGCACAGTGGTTAAGCACTCAGCAGCAAACCAGAGGGCGGGGGTTTAAAGCCATCAGCTGCTGTAAGATCCCCAGCCCGGGGAACCCTCGGTGCGTCTCTGGCTGGCAGGGTCACTATCAGAACTGACTGGCGAGGGTTTTGGTGTGATTCTGGAGAAGAGGCAGGATGATGTGTCCAGGAAAGGAACACTGCTGATGGCACGCTAACTTTGCAGACAAGCGACCTTATGGTTCTTCCATTCACATGTTTGAGCTTAGATGGAGTTTTGGTTTCCTGGTGCATCAAGGTGCAGAAACCCCAGAGTTTTCGGCCTGCTCCCCCGGCACTCCTGTCCACAGCCTCGCACACTCCACCCTGCCCATCCCCTCCTGCGAGCACCACAGCTCTGTGGGATCCAGCACAGAAGAACCACCTTGCACATAAAACAGACTTGGTCAAAACACTGCTCTGTTGAAATACATGTGGAATCCTGGACAAAAGAAACAGCAGTGAAGCACAAATAAGATTTTAATTTCCAAAACCTAGTGGGGTGTAAGTAAGTCCCTTAATGAAAGCCTTTGCACCATCTCCGCCAGGGCTGTAATTGTGGGTCTGCGCTCAGGCTCAGCCGGCAGGGCTGCTTTGAGGACCTTGGGGGTAATTCTTGGGCCATAATCCGGCCCAGCACCTAGTCTTTAGCACATTTTCTGGCTAATTGACCTTCAAAGAGTTGGTGAGCTCCCTCTCCTGCTCGTTGCCAAACACCTTTCACAGTTTCTTTTTGGCTCGGCTTTCTTTCAGAGGAATATTATAGGGCAGAGTGGGCGAGGTTTTACAGTCATTCCTATAATCTGATGACACCTCGGAAGTAGGCGCTTAAGGGAGGGAACAGAGCAGACCCCCAGCTGAGGGATCAGAGCGGTTATCCAGCACGCTCGCAATCTCAATCCCCCACCCTGGCTGTAGCCAACCGCCGAGATCTATCAGTGCCCCAGCTGGCCCTTTACGTATGACCAGTACGTGCTCTACTGTGTAAGCCACTCTGCTGCTTACAATGTGGACCTTTACGAGTCAAGTCTATCCTATAGTAAAAATACAAGAACACAATGAAAAGAGGGGTGGAGTACACCAGAAAAGGAACGTTCATACACCAGGTACGTCACAGCAAAGAAGAGAAGCGATCAATGTGATCTGTGAAACAACCAAATCCAGGGCTCCAGAGCCCAAGGTATGGAATCTGAGAGATAGCTGGGAAACCACTGGGCCAAGTGACTGAAGCTAAATGCTTAAATTAGCTTAAATGGCTAATTACGTATTATAAAATGCAGCTGGTAGGTGAGAATCACTGAATCACCTGACCTGGAGGCTGGCACCTACCCAAACCCTCATTCTCCTGCAATTATGTATATGCAAGACTGTTGAACCATGGACTGTATGGTATATCTTCCAGAATCACAGCAAAGAAAAGACCTCTTTGTGTATAAACAAGGTTGACAAGACTTTGTCTCGTGCACTCGTTCATGGAGAAGGACACTATGCCTGAGAAAGGGGTCAGCAAAGAGAGGAAAGGCCATCA